AATTTTGTGCTACTGTTATTTTCTTTAGACTGCTTGGGAACATATATATTACAATCAACCCCACGGGCATAATAGTAAAATCCAAAGCTATTGCCTTAATGAACTTTTTGAACAACAAATGCCCTTCCGGCCTCCCAGGAAATCATGCTAGTAAGTCCATTCCTTTGGTAGAAATATCTCTGGGGAAGAACTTTGATTCTGGGGAATATTAGTGAAGCATTTTGTCTGTACATCTTTGATTGTGTCATTTCTGTTCTTGTATGGATTGGTAACACCATCTCTTGAATTACTTCTGTAATCTGCATATATGAAGTACTTGTTAAGCGGACTTACGATTGAGAGCAAGGCAAACAAGGTAAATAAAAAATGAAAAACAGGAATGCTAATATATAATGCAGAGAGATGAACCTTTCCGGGGAGAAATTTGCAAGCCTAATGCATGGACATTGAGGTTGAGAGCTTGAACTACGCGAGGAGGGAGGAGAACAGGAGAGCAAGCTGCACCAGAATGATAGATTATCAATTCTGTTGTTCTATGGCTTTTATCTTACATTTTTTAATAGTTCATCAAGGTGTATACTTTTGTATATATATGACTCTGTAATAAATTAATTACCTGGTTTTTTGTTTGGTTGGAAGTTTGTGCCTGCTCTTTGTGGAAGAAAAACTCCAGTCCCGGAAGATCTCTTACCGGAATCTAGGAAGAGAGCCTGCATTCCAGTTCCTCCTGATGATGTCCACCCTGGATGGTTTGGTCTATGATGTGCTCTTGTACTAGATTTTGAGTGCTTATCAAAAACAAAACAGGAGGAAAAAAACCTCAGAATCTAGGGAGATTGTGATAATTAATTACTGTCCAATGTATATGATACTTTTGAATGCTATAGTTGGAATTGACCATGCTGCCAAAGACGTCCTGATTTTCAATTTCTTTAAAGAATAAAAACTCCGACATTTTGCATTCATACCCATATATACTATATTAGTTCCTATATTCACACTCACAATTACTTACTAAAAAAAAAAAAAAAAAAAAACAAACAGAAAAAGGAAAATGATATGAAGAAGTGGTACCAAGGGAAGGTGTTCCGCCGGAGACTTGGGACGACTCCAGCGATACTGGTACTTCACATAATCCTGAAATTCAACATCTTTTAGTATTGAACCAAGCAGAGAAGGCCAAAATGCAGCAATGAAGAAGAAACCTTGATAATAGACCTTTTTCTGGTTATTCCAGACGGTCTCGTCCGAAACATGAGAAGGCAGTAGCCACAGCATTCCTTCTTCTTCGAAACCGACCTCCAAATTCTGCGGCCCCGCCATTACAGGGACAAAAGCAGGGGAAAACAGAGATAATGTTTTTAGTTTCTTTTCTGGTTTCAGGACAAGCTCTGGTGTTCCCACTTCTAAACTGCAACTAAACTAAATAGATATACGTGGGATAAGATTGTGGGATGGATCAGCGCATATATAGGGTCGTGACGCCGGTCCCGTTCACTTCCCTGCAACGCGCGTGTAATGCAGTCTCGTGTCATAGAACGTTTAAACGGGGTCGTTTGATAGTGCGTGTTCTTACGGAGATTGTTTTCGTTAGTCGACCTCAATCTGCCACAAAAATTACGCAGAAAACCGCGTACGAGTACTTATCATCAAGTTCGGAAATACTACTTTACCCTTTTAGCCGCCCAGAATTATGGACCTGCCAATTGTACCATCAAGAAATCCATTTTTCATTAAATAATGATGTGGCAACCATATATTTATATAATTTTTATTTATAATTTTAATATATTATTCTATAAGTAAATGTTCATAATATTATAAATTTAATAAAATTAAAAGAACTAACATATAAGATGTAAAATTATATAAAAAATTAATATACAAAAAATTATCTTTTAATTATTTTTCTTTTTCATTTACTTTGAATATTTTATATTAATTAAAATTTGGAAAGTTTTTTGCCCGTTTCCATAAATAATTGATTGTTACAAAATGTTTTTCAATAGAAAATGAAAATTTAAAATTCGCATGAAAATTTGAAATTCCCTTGATAGTTTCAAAAAATTCATTATTCAAATTCAAACGTTGACTAGAAAACATGTCTTGATTACTCTAATGCATCACTTGTAACTGATGCAGTGATGTTTAATAATCCTTAAGAGATAAAAAGAAATCAAAATTCCCTCCACAATTAAAAAAAAAAAAAGTCAAAGATTTTGAAGCTCCATTTAAGGCATAATTAAAAATTTTCACAATAAACATTTTGATAGTTATGAAAATATTCAAGGGCACTTTAGTCTTTTGACCACCCAAGCACGTAGGGTAGGGTGGGTTGGGTTGGGTTCGGTAAACCCCTCTTCCTGTTTCGTTGTTGCAGCAGTTATGCTACCACTTAACGCTCCGCTGCTCCATATCCCATATTTCCATCCTCTTCCCGTTTTTCAAAAAATATTATTTTTAACTACAATAGGGATTTAAGATGTGTTTTGGATTGTTGTAAAATGTTATAATTATAATTGTGATTATGATTGTATTAAATTGTATTGCATTATAATTATAGTTAAAAATTATTTTAGTATTTAGTTATTTATTTTTTAAAATAATTATAAATGAAATATAATAAATTTTATTAATTATTAATTAAAATTTAAAAATAGTGTTAAATATATAATTATTAAAATAGATAATATTTACTATTTTTAATAATTTAGTTTTTTAAATTTGTTATTATTATTAAAATATTATAAATTATGATGTAATTAAATTATATGAAATTATATTTTAATGAGTAATTTTGTAATTATATTAAATATTAAGTATTCTTCATAAAGACTTCAGTTAGAAAATTTCAAATAAAACTTTTAGATTTATATATAAAATTATTGTAAATTTATTGTGACTTTTTATAGTTCTTAGAAAAAAGAGCATAAAAAAATTATCAAATATATACTCTCAACTGCAATCCCAAACGCA